TGATGAGGAGGGCTGCAGACCCCACAGTCCAGGTAGCAGCAGTAGGAGAAGCGAACAGACTGACAGCCCAGCAGCAGCTCTGCCTGCCTCTTTCCTCTAGTCCAGCAGGAATCCCAACTATGTCTGCTGTAACTCGCCCTAGAGACAGCAACAAAGGCTCCAACATGCGGCTCAAAGAAAACACAGGAGGGAGAGAGAGTAGGAGAGCTGAGGCATGGACAGAAAGGGAGACACAAAGATGAGAAGGAAAAAATACTTGGCAGCGTTGAGTCTTTGAAGGGCAAAAACCAGTAAAAAAAAAATGCCCATGATTTTTCTACAATCAGAGGAAATATCTTATTTTTGCCCAAACAATAGTCTAAAATCAAAAGATATGTTGTGTACATGACAAAGAAAAGGGGAACATTGTTTCATTTGAAAAGCAAGAATCATAATAAAATTGTTTTACCTAACAATATAGCAGCACATTCATTTTCGTTGCAGCTCGAGTCCAATCTTTCACAAATGTAATTAACTAGGATAAATCATGTCCTATTACAGATTGGTTGAAAAGGCTACATAACAATATTGTAATGAAAGATACTGAATGCCTAAAGGTCTTAAATGTTTTCCCCTCACTTGATGCAAGATTACATTCATTAAAAAAGGAAGAGAGCTGACTCGTACGTTTCTTTAAAATGTGGCCTTTTATAAATGTGCCTGTTATAATAGAAAAGCGTTGCCAGATGGTACGTTAACTTTACTAAATGAAGAAAGCCATAAAAAGAAAGCCATGAGCCAGTGTACAGTAGCCTCCATGTGTTGGTATAACAATTACCATGATGCATCTGATAGTGTACGACAAAAGACCAACTGGGTCCTGGGCTTAAAACCAACACACGTCATTCAGTGTCGTCCCCGAAAAGCAAAACTCTTCTAAAAAGCTCATTGGTCGATTTCTGCGAGTGTTTGTGTATTCTGCATGATGTGTCGAAAAGTCAATTCTGTCATGAAAGGAAGTGATGACAGACAAAGTCCTGTGTATGTGAGGCTTCTCGTGGATTAACTGTAAACAGGCCTTGAGAGAAAAATAGACTTTCAAATCCTCATTCAGTATTAAAAGATCCATATTCACTGACTCATAGGTTTACTTCATGATAGAAAATCACTGGCAAGCACCCCGTCTGCGTGTTATTAGCAGAAAACATATGCAAATGAAAATACTGGAAGGGAAAGTTACCTCGACATTCTTAATACTTTCTCATATGTGTAGCCATTCATACAGATTAACAGACATGCACAGATCTGTCTTAGTACTCAAGCTAACAGAAACATTAACCTGTACAACATGCCTGACAGCATTCTTTTCATTATGCACTTTTTAACTCTTTATACTCTCAATTTCTTTGCTCAAAATAGCTCATTTTCAGGGTCACACAACTTTACAGCGCAACAAAGTGCAAGTTATGAACCCCAAAAAAGAAAATGACTGGCTATGAAGGTTATGTAAAAATCAAGGACACTTTAAAATCGCCTTTTCTCTGGTAAAAGTGTATCTAACTCTGTCCAAACAGCCCGTGGAGGACAGACTGACTGGTTCACCAAACAGGCCAAAGAGCCAGCATGAGTCTACAGGGTTGGCAGGGAATCAGATAATTGAATCGGACAGTTGTCACTCTGACAAAACTTGAATTGGCTCCCCTCTTACTGGGCGGGAAAACTAATTGGTTTGACAGCACTGAGGAGGCAATCTAATTGGCTAGGTAATGTCAGTCAAAATAGGGCAGGTTGGGAGGGGGGGGTGCCATCTGGGTGTCGGCAAACGGTTAGATAATCCTGCGGTCTCTCTTCTTCTTCTCTCTCTGTGCTCTCCCATGCTGTTCGGATGACAACTGCTGCCAGCCTGTCTGCCATGTCGGCACTAAAGCCATACAGAAACACTCACGCAGCAACACTTTGGCTTATAGTGCCACAGCTGAAAGCAACGGTAAAAATAGTCATGTTTCTTCAGCCAGAGGCCTGCATGTGTGAGAAAGTAAGAGAAAAAAGTAAAATCACTCGAATGTGTTTTTTGCACACATAACTGCACACTTACTTTTATCTCATAAAGACTGTGTATATCTTTGAAGTGTTATCATTCACTCTGAAGTGTTTTTACTTGGCTGCATTTTCTTTAATGAAAGTGTTAACAGTGCTTAACTATTTCTCCCAAATGTAAACAGAAGCTACTGAACGGAGGTGAATCACAAGCAGTGCAATGCCGAAAAACTCCCTACTAAATATTTTAAGTTGTCAGATCAGAGGGGCTGAGGAAAACACTAGATTTGTTTTTATGTTTGTGGGAGCCCAGGAATTCAAATGAATGCATTCCCTGTTAATAATCACCTATTAACAGTGCTTAACTATTTCTCCCAAATGTAAACAGAAGCTACTGAACGGAGGTGAATCACAAGCAGTGCAATGCCGAAAAACTCCCTACTAAATATTTTAAGTTGTCAGATCAGAGGGGCTGAGGAAAACACTAGATTTGTTTTTATGTTTGTGGGAGCCCAGGAATTCAAATGAATGCATTCCCTGTTAATAATCACCTATATTCCCTCAAAGGACTGGAACAACTCACCTGTGGTTTCTAAGCTACTTTTAATGAGTTACAGTGTCAAGAGATGAAAAGAGAGAAGGAGGCATTACTAAACATGCACATTTGAACACATTTTGGATCATGTGGCATGTTTCAACCAGAATTTGCTATGACGTTTTAAAAATGAATACAAAAGATATAACATAATGTCTTTGATAACTGTCATCATCCAAAGCTGTTTTGATGTGTATAACATACATTTTTGCTCATAATAAAGTATATTGTAGTTCAGTCATTTTACTGGAGACCACCACGCGGTGCTTGTAAAGTGAGAGGCAGACAAAAAGCAGAGTCACCATCATACAGTAACGTCTGACCAACACTGTAGGCCTTTTGTGTGGGAGGGTGGCCGGGCAGGACGACTACCAACAGCTGCCTCAGTCCAAAAGAAAATGCACAGAGGAAAAACACCCCCAGATACACACACTCTCACGCAGACACAGTAGCCTACAGAAAAGCACACACACAAACATAAACACAGAGAGCTGGCTGTGGCAATCCCCGACATCCTGTCAGGCGATCACTAAGCCAGTCACAGTTAATTTCACTCAGCGCTGGCTGTTCTGTGCAGCAGAACTCAAAACACAACAGAAAGTCCAGACAGAAATCTTTCCGAATGCCTGGTCTTCAAACTAAATATGTACGGAGGAGTGGTCATGTGGCTCTGCAAACCCAGGTTCAAATGTGGCTCCTTCATGCCAGCCTTTCCTCTCTCAATGCATGTCTTCTCTGTTAATGTTTAAGGTTTTCAACCATTTTGTCAAATCCTTTTCTGCCTCACTCATGCTTCCAACCCTTCCCCCTCAAATCCTTCCGGTTGCTTTCCACTATATACTGTCCCATAGGGGAAAATGCTCTAAAAATACTGCTGACTTCTTCACCGTTTAGTAGGATGTGTGTGGAATAGAAAAGACGCCCTTGTCCAAATGAACCTGCACTGGCCTCCTTAAAACACCTTTCTGTTTAGGAGGATTCCTCTGGAAGTTGAGACACAGCCTGGAGGAGGAGGAAAAACAAGCATGCTACAGAGAGGAGGAAAAGGTTGTTGAAATCTAACAGCTTAGCGAAGTGATGAAACCAAGCAGTAGGAGAGCGAGGACAGTGGCAGAGGGCAGAGCAGGAGGAAGAGGGCACCAAACAGAGACATTACAGGGCCAGTCGAGGTTAATCAGCTCCTCATGCACTCCTCCAAGCAAGAGATTAACCCTTCTAAAAACAATTCACGCTGAGGTACTCTGCACATATAGAAACACAGACACGCTTCCCCTCACTATGAGAAATACTCCCAATCCTAGAAGAGATACTGAAGCGAGATTACACAAACAGTTGCCTTAAAGAACTGCAACACACTATAATCTCCTCTGAGGTGAGAATCAATTCCACTGGGAACAAGCTTGCTGTAATGCTCCGTTGACAGCAACTAGGAGGAGTAAATGCTGACAGTGTGGAGTGTGGCATTAGCGGAAAATGTGAAAAATTGCCCTGCAAGCGGGAAGTAGCAGCCCTAAGCCAGACAAAGGAATGGAAAGCTGTCATGCTATATGTTAGGAGGAGACTGGAAATACAGACAGATTCAGACAGGCTACTAATGCCTCATCTTCTCTCTCTTCGATCTGCCAAAGCATCCCCCTTCCTTTAACTGGAATAAAAAACAAACAATTGTGAATCTGCGCAGGCCTGCTGCATTATGAAGGATGTGCATTGCTGTGTAATCTGCATCCAGATTCTGCGCTGCATCCAATGTTTGTCTGCTTAAGGCTACTATTTCTATTTAAATCTGCAGCACAGCAGGATATGCGAGCTGTGTAGCATCCAGGGGCGGAGTGTCTTCCAACAGGCTGCAGATGACAGTCTAGGCTAGGGTGACTGAAAAAACAGAGCTACTGGAAGTTGTGGAGCTGCTTGCTGCCTCCATGAGTCACAGATGAGCACAAACAAACACAGCTTCCAGGGATACTGACAATAACTGTCTGCACAGATTTCTGACTGTGTGACCCATGTTTGCCCTTAATACAGGGTCCCTTTGTGTGTAGCCTACATTCACTCCAGCAGACAATTTCAAGTGCTGGACACTAGAGGCTGGAGTTTTTGAAGAAATGATTAATGTGGGGATCACCCAAATAAAACCCTAAGGGTGTCAATTGTTGTCTCTGGTCAACACCCAAAGACCCTTTACACTGGGCAAACAAACTACATATATATTTACTTATCTAACTATCAAATATGCCTTTTTGTATTGCTATAGTATCTATTAGCATGGTGGGTTTTAGGGGGCAAAGCAAAGGTCCTCATATATGCTCTCATTTGGCCAATCATGCCATGAATGGTGGTGCAGGGGACTACATTAACCAAAATGTTACTGAATATGTGTTAAATTACTTACATCTCAAGCATTATCTCGTTCAGGTAAATCCCATCCACTAATTCGATATATTCCGATAATTGGGTGCCATCGGTCAGTGTCGCCTGGCCGACTGTCTTCACCTGGAAATAAACGAGACAATGCAGATAGGTGTAAAGATAATCAATAGGAATGCCTTCACAGGACAGTGCTAGTAATGAGTGAGCTTAATACACATGTTAATATTTAATTAGCTCACCCAGCAGACCAGAGGCGTGAGCATAAATTGCTCCAGCGAAGGGGTGAAAACCTCGCTTTCCATATTTTCCACAGACACTGGCGCCGCTTAGAAACTGTGCGCTCCTTGGGATGAATACGTGTTTATTTTGAATCCACTCATGTAGTTGATTCAATTAAATCGAATCTCATTTTGGCTGCTGGAAAACCGGGTCCCTGTGGGGTTTCTTCCTTGGAGATATTCAGGGAGGTAGAAGAGGAAGAAAAAACGTTAATCCACAATCTTCTCGACACGACCCAGCTGTTTCAGATGTCACCGGCTGGGCTTGGCTACCTCATGGGAAGGAAAATAAATCCCATTTTGTTGTTTCATGAGACCTGAGACAGGTATGGTTTGATGCAGGCTGTGAAAAAATAACCGTTCCTGCCAAAAGGTCTCATTAAGAGGAATCTACCTTGACGGGGAAATATGCATCCGACACGAATCATTAAAGGGAATATCCAGTCCGAAAAGAATCCTGAGGTTTAAAGTCCTGGTTTTAGTCCTCTTATTTATGTGAAGTCATTTCTGACCGGTTTCTCGTCTATCCCCTCTGTCTGCCTCCGTTCAAATGCAGCATAGTAATGAACAGAGAGGGAGGATGACTGGAGGACACTTAGCACCGCCTCCCTCTCCTCTGCATCTCCCTCCGCCTCTTTCGCTCCAAAAGAAAAATAGGGCATTGATCAAAGCATCCCTTTACCATTTCCATTAATGTGTTCCTCCAACAACAAAAAACGGGCATCTAGAAAAGTATTTGAAGAGCTGTGTTGGAAAGAAGAAGGACATGTTTTTTGAGGTATGGTTCAGATATAAATTGGAAGGGAATACGTTTTGGTGCAGCTCTAGTACTTTAATTGATATGCAAAGACATTCTTGAAATGTTCTGCTAATTGTATTCCATAGTAGGTAGACAATACTGAGGGTCCATCCATGCACACCTTTTGTTTGTATTTACAGCAAACAGGACATTAATGCATCAAGAAAAGTAGACTGCTGACACCTGGTGGGTAATGTACACGTACAGTACATTTTTAGTTTGTGTGCTAAAATAAAGAGACACTCTCTAAAGTATATAATGCAGGATGTAAAGGAAATACTAAATGAATTAAATTCTGATCATTTATAGGTTAAAATATTCAGTTGACAATAGGCCTGAAACAATAGGTTGATTAATTGATCAGGAGAAAATTTGTCTGCAACTGTTTCAATAACTTTTTAATAATTTAAGAAATTTTAAAACAAAAAAGCCAAAATCTAAGTTCCATCTGAATTCTAACTTTGTGTTTTACATATTATTGTTACCCTTATATGTTTTGACAAAACAATAATATTCAAGATATTATTTTAGTCTTTAAGAAATGTTGATTGTTATTTCTCAGCCCTGGTTGTAACGCTAGAAAAAGTGTATGTGTGTGTTTACTATGTAACTATTCCAAGATACTCAAGATATATAATCTAATTAAAAGCAGTTAAGACATTTGTGACAATTAAAACTATTAGAAGTTCAGAAATAGGATCCTGTATGCCTCTTTTAACCACACAAAAATATCATAGTCAAATGCAGTATTAAACCAGTAAACATTTTTTACTCAGTCGACTATTTCTTTTAGCTGTATCAGCAACAAAGTAGGGACAATAAATAGATAATCCAGACCCACAGTCATTCACCATACAGCTATAGGAGACACCTTATCAACATTTGATGAATGGCTCTGGTGTGAATAGGGAGCAGAGGCTGTGTGACCAAATAGCCAATTAAAACACAATCGCTGATTTGGGAGCTGGGGACCTGGGTCACCTCTCAGGAACAAATAGATTATTGTATGCTTTCGTTAAACTGATGATAAGCACATTTCAGCAGCAGCTCTCCTGAAGAAGCATGCGGTTCTCATTTGCATTTAGAATAACGGTCACTGCCGTTGGTGCTTCAGCTTCCGGCCATACATTATGAGATCCTAACTGAACCTGTTGTGTCTCTTTTTCTGAAAAACCTGTTTGACTGGAGGGCTTTGAGCGCAATAAATGCTCATCAGGAGGTTACAACATAAAGTGTGGTTGTTTGGCGTAAGATCTGACATGTTGGTACTGCAACTTGGACTTACAAAATATATAAACCCTAGATTCACAAGAATCAAACCTTCCATTTGTCAAAAAGAATTAGAAAAAATCTTAAACATGACTTGTATTAAGTATTTCTGTATAATTTAGCAAATGTGCAACAATCGAAGTATGAAGTTTGGAAAAGGTTCTCCTTAGTTTTATTTATTGAGAGTTGGACATCAAAACCCCCATTTAATCTGCTGCATCGGGTGTGGATGTGGTTTTGACAGATTCAATTGACAGTGATCTGGCATCAAAAGCAAATAGTCGAACATCTGTCATCACATTTGGATTTAAATGTGGCAACATCTGTAATGCTAGCAATGCTTTAACATGACTAACAGGACTTTTATGTCCCACCCAAAGGGACCCCCCTCCCAAAACCAGTGCATAGCTGAATTTGGAAAATACAGATGATCTCTCATGTACAATAACCAAAATGAGTTGTGTTGATGAAGCTTGTTGTATTTATAGTTGTCCGAATCAGATGGTCATTTCAGGGCTTTAATACTTTCTTCCCTAATTTCTGCCCACTGCTCCCACAACAATAATTGTATTTCAATTGTATATTGTCTTATCTTGGTGATATAAAAAGGTCTCTGAATCTACACAAACCTCATTTTTAAACTCAAATGTAACCCTTTCTTGTGGCAAACCAAACTCATCTATAGTAACCCTCAAACCCTCTGTAGGATACAACATGATGCAGATAATGAAAACCTTTCATGGCTCACCCACACAGCAGCACTTATGTTTTGCTCAATTACTGAGGAGGATTAGTTGGATATTTTCTATAGCTATGTGTGTTTGTGATCATGTCATTTATTTGCGTAGGTGTGGGATTCATTAACTTTGGTTTGAATGGTGTGCTCCTGCCTGTTTAATTCAAATCTATTATTCACGATGCTTTGAAGAAGTTTTGTCACAAAGCGGCATCCACCTCCACATAATGACTCAGTGATTACGGACCCACAGCAACATTCCTCACACACACTCAGCTATAAAGTAGGCAAAACTACCCAGAGGAAGCCCACCGCCCGCCTCATTTGGCTCAAACTCTGCAATACCAGCAAGGAGGGAAATGGAAATGTTTCCTCGAGTTGGTTTGAATCCAGTCTAAGGATGAAATTAAAAAATCCAAGATCATAAAACAGCAGTGCCCTGAAAACAGAAGAACATTCGTTATTTCTCTCATCAACCGCATGACCTCGCAGCTTTCTCTCTTTTTTATAAAGTAGTCAAAGTCTGCAGTTTCCTGTTAGTAATTTCAGAGGAATTTACCACAAGTGACCACAAACATTTTGAAATGGGAGCTGTGCTGATCTCATGTGGCCATGAATGCAGGGATGACTAATGCTGGACAGAATAGTTTGAGTTTTATAATTTCCTCGTTCTTCAATGACTGACTTTTACTTCTGAGTTCCCCTGCCATGGTAATCTGATTAATACTCTAGGTGTGATGTAGTTTGGTTGATAAGGCATTTCCTGAGTGAACAGGATGTTTAACATGTTATCATACAATTCTGCTGACAACAACTAGCATTAAATGGTGAAAAATATTACTTTACAAACATTGGGGTTCAAACTGAATTGATGGTAATCCGGTACCAGTATTAATTGCCATGCTGCCCAAATACATGATGATGTCTGGACGTGACCAAAATCATAAAAAATCATACCAGGTATTATTATGTTTTATATGTAATGGTATTCTGTTCAAATGTTGTAGATATATCTTGCTTTGTACAGACAGGCCAAAATTACAACGTACTTACTCATACATTGTTGAGTGTCCTTTAAATACTGATAATCTAGTGGTAAGGCGTTGACTTTATGAAAAATGTTGAGTACAGGAATGCACCATCAGAAACATGACGATTATTTCACATGTTCATTAAAAAACTGCATAAAAACACACTTTTTAAATAGATCGTCAAACATTACTCCTAAAGCCTTTCTAGTTTGACTAAATAATTGAAAGGTCTGACCTCTATATTTGCAGCGGAGGTCACCTGGACCATCCTCTCTGTCTCTTTCTCTCCCAGTCCAGTATTGCTGCCATAGGAAATCAATGCCTGACAATCAGATCTCCAGTTAAAATGATTAAGACCCCCTGTGGCAGAGCCAAATCCTAATTGCATAACATCACAGGACAATAAATACATGCATCCTCTGAACCCTGTGAATTCTGATGGATCCCTTAACTTATACATAGAGAGACACCTTTGTATATCATGATGGAAAAGTAATTATACTTTCTCCTCTTTTAAACGAAGATGTGCTTTATTAAGATTATTTGACCCATGGTGAGCCCCAGCAGAGTCTGAGGTTCTCCAGATGAGCCTTAATGCTCTGGATTCAAGGTCTGAGACGGAAACTCGGAAAGTAATCAGCGCTTTGCAGTCCAGGCCTTGAGGCTTTGATTTACCCTGTCTGAGAGGCTTTTTAGATCAACAGCACCACAGGGAGCCAATATTTAGGAATGCAGGGGTCAACGTTGTAATGAAACAGATTTGAGTTACTAGCTGGTTCTTGAAAATAATCATTTTGAGACAACTAATAAACACTGATTTTGTTTGGGCACGTTTTATTGACACTTTGGAGATTAATCTCTCTTTTTTCACGTTTTAAAGACCCGAGTCATACTGATACCTGCACACTGTAACAAATGAACGGATGTCATTCAACATTACACACGCTGGTATTTTCAAGACACTCAGTGCTTGTGGAAGTGCCTTCTTTGTATCTGTATTTTCCTATTTTCTCAATGTGCCTTTTTAAATGTTGAATCATACTTTTTGATTTGATTGATTACCTTGCTTCATCTTGCTGTATATTGTGCGTTTATCATTCAAGCTTAGTCAATGATCCACTCATCAGTGAATCATCACTCATATCCAGACACTGTTTCTGCACAAACACACACACACACACACACACAC